TTTGAGCTGACGTCATCAAGTTTTTGGAGGGGATAAGCAAATATTTTTTGACTAAAGATTTATGATGCTCTTTATAGCCTTAAAACATCTGCAACATTTCAAAGCATTCTGGTTAGCAGATTAAAAATTAAATTTCAAAATGTTGTTTTATAATTTTGATTTTTTTTCCAAAAATCTGGACGTTTCGGGTGAAAAGTCGATTGGGAGTTGTAAACTACATGTGTAGGACTATGTTATTTTATACAATTGAAAACCCATTTACTATGTACAATTTTGAAGTGACGTCATCGCATTAGTGGTGGGGATGATTACACAAATTTTGGTTAGCGTTTTACCATCTACATGATATTCTTAATATGTATAAGTACAAAATTTCAACATTCGGTCGAGTACTTTCGGAGATTATCTGTCTAATAAAAATCAGGGACGGCAGACGGACAGACGGACAGACGGACAGACAGACGGAAATGGGAGACCTATTTCTTCGTCTTCTAGGGGTCATGAAAGATCGAGAAAACGTAAAAGTAGAGAGTCGGCCGACGGACTCGATTACAATACTTCCTTTGCTTACGCTCGGGAAGTAATAAGGAGGTGTAAAAAAATAGTAAACTACACAGTTAAGAGTAAATTTTTGGGTTTTGCATGTCCTTCACCTTCGCGCCCATTTTGAAAAATAATATGCATATTTTCAAAAGAATTTATTCAGCAAAATTTTGAGATGATGTAATCAATTTTTTGGGTTTTTTTCAGATACCCCGTATAAGCAAATCTAAAAAATATTAATACTAATGATAGTAATAAATCTCAAGTACAGACTCATCATCAACGCGCGGAATTGTATCTCATACGCTAGAACCAGTGCTGTCGCGGCGATAATTTGATTATAAATATGTTTTTCTTTTGGACTATTTCAGCATAATACATATAACATTTCAAGATCACAAATCTGTGGTCCTGTGGTTGAAAAATTGAAAAGAGCATTGAGTATTATTATTTGAAGTAAGACAGTAATATAGAAGTGGTTTTTTTTTACTAGCTGTAAACACTCCTAGCGACGCACTGGCTACGACCTTGTGTACCAGATCAAAGCGTCCCCGCTACTCGCCGTAAAACACACCTTACTTCAACTGGGGGATAGCAGCGGTGAGATAAATTCCCGCGTACTGCTCATCAACTTATCATACTTTGTACATTTAAGATTGGATTTTTTCAGTAAAATTCTGGGGTGGCCAAGCATTTGGTTTTGTAGTTCCTGATTAAATCAATAAAATAAATTCACGCATTCATTTTTTCCAACAATCTGGAAGTTCCCGTTAAAAACTCATCACACCGTCATAAACTATGTGTGTGTCTGTAGGACAGTTTCTTCCAGTGGCGGCTCGTGACCTTTTGAAATGGGGGGACACAATTTGATTGATGAGTTAAATGTGAAGATATAAAACAGGTTGTTATTACCAATTTGTAGACGAAATTGTGTGAATGAAATAAATACAAAAATACATTCAATAAAAGTAAAAAAAGATTTATCCACATACCTTTTTGCCTTCGGTTAAAATTTTACGTTCATGGCATCTAAAAGTTCATTTTGAACAGTTTTAGACGTTTCTTTAAAAACCGTTGCTTCTTTCAAATGATTGATAAATCAGAGTCCAATTCAGCCGTACAATCAATCAGACCTCGAAATATACCTGGATTTTGTGGTTTCCTACTTTCGTCATGTAAAGCAAGTTCAAACACTCCACAAAATTTTATGCACATTATCAATCGGCGTAATATATGGCGATTTTTGTCGACCCTTGCGTTATGTGGCCGAATATTAGTAATATAGGCGGTGTGCATTACCGAGAAGATTGTACAAGAATATTTATCATACGTGTTCGCACAGAATAAAAATTAAAACCCGCGATAGAAACTCAATCCTGCAGAGCACGGTTGGAATGGGTCCACAGTCCAGTTGTGAAGACGTGTATTTTCCATGGCATCGGTGTAAACAAAACATCTAAATAAGCCATGATTCTCGGTCTCTGTGCCCGGCTTTTATCAGCATTCCATCAGAAATAACATATCATATATCCAAGGCACTTCTTTAGATGTATGTGGATGTAAGTTTTGATCTTAGATCATATAATAAATAGATACCAATACTTAAACTGAAAGCTGTGACTAGACATGAAGCTATCTGTGGTCGTTTTCTACGTCAAGGGGAGTAGTATAATGCTATCCTTGTGTGATCACCACATCTTCATCTTTGTTATATGCATTTCATCTGTATATGTCTATTTCACTTCCATCCTTGTACCGCACCAGCGCAACAAATCGCTTTTGACAGATGTTTCTTCTAACCTCTCTTTCGAGTTGTTGTACAAAAAACAATTTTAGAATTTAGAACAAAGATCCTATTTTAAGTGATGTAGTCATAAAGGATCACAATTGCTGGCCAATAATTTACTATTCTTTTCGTTATCTACTGTGAATTATTTATAAAATCAAGCTGTCAACATCTTTCTTCCGAAGTTAGTTCAGACATACTTCCTAAAATTCAAAATTCAAACGCAAAATTCAAATAGTGATCAGGCAAGGATAGCTTCACTGTAATCCCTCCATGCACGAGAGAGATGTGTGACAGGAGGATGTCGTCACAGGCTGTCCTAGGGAAAGAACACGGCATGGTGGTATCTATTTATTATATGATCTAAGGTTTTGATACATTTTATAGAAGTGGAGAGAGATAAAAAAATAGTTTGAATAATTATTATGACACAAATTTCCGGGTAATTTTTTAAATTATTCAACGGACATAACCTAATCTTTTTTTTTTATCTACATTCAGTTGGCTAAGAGTACGCACAAAATCTGTGGCGCCCTCCGAAAATTATATTGTGAAAATATTAATTCTTTAAAAAAAGTCATTTTGTCCAAGAGTATGCTGGGTACTCTTAGCAGTTAATTATAAAATATTTGAATGAACTAATTTTTAAACTTTACTATTTATTTAGACTACAAACGGAACGAAAAATTATGTTCAATAAAGAGTTGCCAGAAGATGTAAAAAAATTGATAGGCGAAGGAAAATCGAACCGAAGCGTGGCCAAAGCCTACGGGATTCACGAAGCAATATTACGCAAACGTCTGAAACAAGGTTTTGTACCAACCTCGTTGGGAAGGTTTAAACCGGTATTTTCAAGAGTTGGAAGGCCATCTACTATACCATGTCAGAAAATTAGATTCATTGTTTTGTGGACCAACAGTGAAAGATTTACGTAAAATAGCATGAGTTTGCCGAACGTAACAATATAAATCATCTTTTTGACAAATCCCTAAAATTAGCCGGTAACGAATTATCTTTACCGTCAGAAACACAATTTAACGTTGCGACAGCCCGAAAAAACTAGCACTGCAAGATTATCTGGATTCAACAGAGGTCTTAACTAGCTTTCTGTTTTTTAAACAAACACTGGAAAATAAAAAGAAAACGGCACCTTCAAAAGAAAAAAAGGATTCTCTTAAAGTGTAAAAGGCGAAGAAGCAAAACAATTCCGGTTAATCACAAAAAATGCGAGCATTTGCCATGGATGCAGTGAATTTTATGACGATCAACCTACGGATATTGACCTAATAGATTGTTGGAAATATTCAAAGTGGTGGCATGACAAATGTACTGCCTATCCCGGTTTTGTGAAATTCAAATGTGATTTATGTTCTAATTAGTTCCTATCATAGAAATAAGTTTTCATTAATATGAAGCAGTTGTTCAAAGAATTACTCTTTTTTTTGTTATTGTTTTTTGAGGTTTGGTTTTATAATAAAAGTTTTTAAATAAAACAAATTACTTTTACTCGCTTTGTAATGCGTTATCATTTGATTTGATTGGCCGCGTACTCTTGTACTATTAGTACTAATAGTACGCAAATGCAGTGTTTAGAAATTTAATTTTTTGCAACTAAAATCGTGGCTATAATTGCACTCAAAAATATTTTTTTGTTAGAAATTAGTTCTGACTTCCTGAAGATAATGTTACTTTTAATTTTTATACAGAAGCACCTTTGCTGTGATTAAGTGAGTACTCTTGCACATATAAATTTCCAACTGAAGTACTCAGTGTTTCTGAGGCGTCTTGCACTTATCGCCCTTTATAAACAAAACACTTAACAGTAAAACAAACAGAGAATGTATGGGATATGGTCGTAACAATTTTTGTCTTTATTCACAATATGGAATTACAATAACCATGACTCTTATTATCGCCCTAGGGACAAAAAGACCTCGTTTACGCCCCCAATGAGGGCTATAATATTCCTTTTATTTATCGATCACACAAAATATATTTGATGTTAAAATATATTAAAACAAAAACTAATTTTTAATTTTAATTTTTTCACTGCGGCCCCTGACGAGCCACCACTGATCAAAACTAATACGTTTGTATCTACTACAAATCGGTGACAATATTATTAGACATTTTATTTAGATTATTGCACTTGTAACATAATGCTTATCATATTCATTCACTTGAAGTTTAACAACTTACCCCTATTATTATTTTTATTTACAAAGGTTATTAAATATAACAAAAAAATAGAATTCTCAGAATCAAATTTTATTATTAATCTAAAAAACTGAACTTGTACAATTAATTATAATTTAGGGGCGTTGTAAATTTTGTCTAAACAACATTTTTACTTCTGAATGTCATAGTTTAACAGAATACCTATTTTGTGAAAATTCATTAAAAAAATTGCTTTGATCAGTGCAAGTTCTTTCGCAGAAAGACTAAGTGAGTGAATAGGATTGTTTCATTGTTTGTTTCAGCTATTTCGATTTTAGCAATTATAGGAAATGGGTCTAAGCATTCTGGTCTCTTAAAAATGAAGCCTTTACAATAATGTGCAGGTTTTACTTACTTCATATAAAACTATTGAATATTTTTTATTCTCCTTTATAATTAGTTATAATTTTCATTCTGTTTATTTAAATATATATTTTTTATTTTTTTTTTTTAGGAGATCCAACAGTGTATGGTAATCTAAAACCATCTGAAGAAACAGTGCAAGCCGTGATAGATGTTGTTCAGAGCGGTAAATACAACGGCTATGCCCCTTGCACGGGTTATGAACAAGCTAGGGACGCTGTTGCAACATATCTTAGCCATGACGGAGCAAGATTTTCATTTCAGGACATAATTCTATGCAGTGGCTGTTCTTCTTCGCTGGAAATTTGCATAACAGCACTGTGTGATGAAAAACGAAACCACAATTTACTGATTCCCAAACCAGGATTTTCTATATATCGTACTTTAGCGGAGACTATTGGAATAAAAGTGAAGTATTACAACTTAATAGCTGAAAATAATTGGGAAGTTGACTTGGAAAATTTAGAGAAACAAATCGATTGTTTTACTGCTGCGATCATTTTAAACAATCCATCAAATCCCTGCGGTTCGGTGTATAGTGAAAAACATTTAAAAGAGATTCTTGGGATAGCACGTCTGCACCAAATTCCCGTTATAGCTGATGAAATATACGAGCAAATAGTTTTTAGTAAAAACAAATTTGTTTCAACAGCTGCTTTGAATTTAGACTTACCTATTTTAATTTGTGGAGGATTAGCTAAAAGATTTTTAGTTCCTGGCTGGCGACTAGGGTGGATTGCAATTCATGACAATTCTGACGCATTTAGTAAAAATATTCGTAAAGCTTTAGTTAGTTTAAGTCAACGAATTATTGGAAGTAATACTCTGATTCAAGGAGCTTTACCTAAAATTTTATTTGATACCCCACAGATTTTTCATGACAATTTAATTAATACTTTAGAAACCAATGCTACGATGATATTTAAGCTATTGAAAGAAGCAAAAGGATTATTACCCTATATGCCACAAGGAACAATGTATATGATGGTAAAAGTTTATTTAAAAAGATTTCCTTTTGAAGACATTTCACATTTAGTTATCAAGCTTATGGAGGAAGAATCTGTGTTTTGCTTACCAGGAAGTGTAAGTATACCTATATATTTTTTAACTTATGCATGTATGAATCATGTGGGTCTACTAAACACTTACCTTACTTGCTGAATTTTTCTTCTCCAGCATTTGTCATTTTTAGCTACAATTTTTCTCTATCTACTTTTTGCCTATTTGCAATTTATCTTCTTTTTTTCTTTCATCTGGTCATTTGAGATATTTCTTGGTCCACAAATCTTACATTTTTGCGTTTTTCATTCATCGTTTTTTGACAATATGTGCGTAGCATAATTACTTTATATTTTAATTATCAAAATAATATCTGATTTAAAAAATAATACTTTTATTTGTTCCATTAATATTGTTTTTTTCATCATCCGGTATAATATTAAACGGCATGCGGGAATACTAGTTTACGGAACTAGTTCAGGATAGCCTGCTTTCCACATGAATGCTTGTTTGCGGCTAAACTGAAGGGAGTGCCGCATTTGTGGGAATGTGGGAAGCGGGCTTCACGAACATGTTGTCTACACATATTCGTGACACGACATTGCCAGTGCCTCAAACACGTCGCAATGTTGAGGCTCCTTTAAGGTTACCATGATAATGCGAAATAAAAAGTACCCGTGCAGGAAATTCGACTTCCCACACCCTGGTGAGTGCATCAAAAAAGGGCATCAGCGCAAAAAATTATTTAAAATAATATATTGTCCCATTTGTGTGTTGCTTTTGTTGGTTTTCCGAAACGTCAGAGTTTTGACTTTTATTTTTAGTTTGTCATTTTCAGAGCAACTCTTCATGTTCTCATCAATAATTAATAATATTGGAGTAACCATCTTCTAGTTGATTGCTACCCCTATGGTTCTTACGAGTGTTGAGTTAATATACGTTTTAATTTTAAATATCCGTCAATAAGTTGTCGAATTTTCCAATAAAATTTATACCAACAGGTTGCGTAGTGCGTTTTTCCGATTTATAAAACAAAAAACGTGTCGGTATTAGGTATTCCATATTTTGTGGGCGTAAAGCTGCGTATTTACGATAAATTTCTGGTAAATTAATACCATCAAAATTATTAGTTAATTCTGACAACAAGTGCATGCTGGATTTTCGTTTATCTACTGTTTCAAATATTTATTACTTCCTGAGTATACCTACATACAGAAGTATAGTAATCGAGTCCATCGAGAGACTTGCACTTCGACGTTTCTTGGCCTCTAGAGTATGAAAAAAGTGGTCTCCCGTTTCGATCTGTCTGTCTGTCTGTCGTCTGTGTCGATTTTTATTAGACAGAGATAATCTCTAAATAATAATCACCGGTATTTGCCGACACCAATCACAGTCACCAACAGTGACAGACGGATCACGGTGAAATAATCATCGGCAGTGAAATATCGTGCATCTCTAGATACCATGTAAATGATAAAACGTTGACCAGAATTTGGCTAATCATCCCCACTACCAATGAGATGACGCTTCTCCAAATTTACAATAGTATATTTTTTTAAATTTCATAAAATAAGATACTCTTGCACATGTGGTGTATGAATCTATGTTGAGTTTTCATCTTAGACATCCAGATTCTTGAAAAAAAAAAATTAAATTATATAACAACATTTTGCAATTGAACTTTGAAACTGCAAAACCGAATGCTCTGATATTTTGCAAACATACTTACTTACCTATTAAGTTGATAGTAATCATGGTAAATTGTTAATTAAAATTTATTCTTGTATTCCCTTCCAAAAAATTGATGACGTCATCTCAACATTTTCTGAAACATTCAAAATATTATGGCTCTGTACTTGTGTTTTATCAATGCACTCATAGTTTTTAGAATTACTTATTCTGGATGGCTCAAAAAATGAATGAATGAGGATATTTATTTTATAGATTAAATCAAGAACCACTCACTCCTTTTTCCGAAAATTTGGGAATACAGTACTGTTGTTACTATTCCGCTGCATCTATCCAAATTGATAACTATAAGTAGGTGTCATGCGCTCTTGTAAGAATGAATGACAAAATTTTGTAATGGAAAAATTCACTTGACACAAAACTGTAACATGCTTCTTTAACATTAGATACATGTCTTTATTTTAGCTTACAAGGGTTATCATTAAAAAGATAAAATTCACAAAACCAAATTTTGTAATTTTTCGAAAAAGGTAGATATGATTTATTGTATTTCAGGGCGAGGGAAGTTTTATCGAAATAACCTTCGCCTATTTTTTTTGATCAAGGTGTTTTGTCGCTTATGTTATTTGTTTGCATATTTGTTAATTCAACTCTACGATACGTACTGCTAAAAATCATTGCATTCTAACAAAATGCTGCTCCTATTAATTATATACAGGGTGTTCATTTTATCTGTTGACGCCTGAATATTTCTGCATAGGCAAGCCATTTTATGTTTCATAAACAGCTTTTATTAACTTTTATTTTTAAATAATAATGAATAATATATAGCAATGATGAGAATCAAAATTAAGACAAATTATTTCTGTCAGCCAAATATTTTCAAGTTTCGTTTGCTTTAAAATGTTTTCGAATTCTGAAAAAAAACAGACATGCTATTAATATTAGGAAAGTGTGACAAATACCGAACTCAGTAAATGAGAATATGTTGGCTAGAATAAATGAAGATTGCCGTAGAAGAGTACAAGCTACAACTAACTAAACCACTGTAGTGGGGTTATATTAACGAATTTAATGTCTTATTTCATTTATTCAAAACAAAAATCTAATTTGCCATACATTTTTCTGGATGTGCAACTCAAATCATGACCACCAATTTGTAGGAGAGTTTTCTTTCAACATACCTATTATATTATTATTACTACATGTTATACCGCGTGAGCTGACTGAGTCTGTTGGTGATCTGTGTGGTGATCCTAGATTTTTAGTTGAAATTGGTATCATGATGTTTTCTATAATTTTCAGTTGACAGTTGTCAAGATTGACAGATTGGTGACAATATTATGGCAACATAAACGCAAGAAAAGTTTACATTTGTGTTTAAAAAGTAATGCCGACAGACTCAGTCACTTCTGATATTAACTTTTTCGTTCGTTTTTTGTGTTCCTTTTTTTTCTTGGTAGCATATCGAGTTTTTTTTTATATGCTACCTCTAATTTCGAAAACACCTGTTATGTAATGTACAATTCTGACAAAATTTTGCGTAGTTCGAAACATTTTTTTTTATTCATTTAATATTAAGCTTAATCTTTGTTATTTCTTATTGCAGTGTTTCCAAACACCGGATTTCATAAGAATAGTGTTAACTGTACCAGAAAATTTATTGAGAGAAGCTTGCAGTCGCATGATACACTTTTGTAATAAATATTGTACAACTACTTAAATAAAATTTATATACTTTTTCTTCAATACGTACAATGGCGGCCAAAATAAAGTAGGACACCTGTTGAAAGATTTTTTTCAAAAAATTTAGTTACGTAAACTGGTTTCAATTAAATAGATACAGTTGTTTCCTAAAAATTTCGGGCAAGATGGGCAAATCAGGTTCTCACAGATTAATGAAAAGCAATGGGAATATCACTTTCATGTCAATGTCATTTGTCCGATTTTTTTTGGAAACGACGGTCTTCACTGAACGTCAATAAAAATTTGAAAGTTACACTGGGGAAAGAAGACTGCCATCCTTCATTTTGGCCGCAACTGTATAAGACTCTTTTAAACCAAGCAGCCTTTTACCATGCTGTTGAAGCAACTGTAATTAGTACCTAATTTCCGGGCCAGTGTTAAAACTTCTCGTCGTCGTTTGAATGCAGTCGGCATTCGCAACTAGGCGGGAATTCGAAAATTAAGCCAAACTTTGTTACACGACACTGAATTTTAGAGCAGAGTAGTATTCTTGGACGAAAAAGCATTTCAATCATGTCCAAATGATCGAGAACGAGTTCGTAGGCCACGAAACACCCGCTGCGAATAAAAATACGTGGACTCGATTGAACGAAGTGGACGCACATATTGTTGTAAATATGTGGGCATGGATTTCAGCAGCAAGTTCTGGGGTAATGCCTTTTCAAAAAGGTATCCCATCAATTTATTAATGCATTAACCTACCTAATCTTTAATGTAGGAATTATCCAATCAAATGCAGCTCTAAAATTAATGTATCAAGATTTAAATGAAAGATTTGCCTTAAAATATGTCCTAAGATATCGATTAAACCAAGATATTTTAGAAAACTTTTTTGCTACTATCAGTGCTAAAGGTACGACCAGAGAACATAGAGAAGCGCCATAGTTTAAATCAAATGACGGTTGTGGACTTCTCAATTTATGTTGGTAGCAGTGTTTGTTTCTAACTAGGAATAAAAGTAACTAGAAGAAATGTCATAATATTTTTAACGACGCGTTTTATTTTCGACAAATTGACACTAGATTTACCAGAATATTCCAAGCTGCTTACTGTTTCCTTCACTTTCATTCAGGTCACACGAATTACAATTATAGTGAAGCAAGGTTTTTATTGGCATGGACATGGACTATTTAAATTTGGCGCTTGCCTTTGGCGGTTAAGGACTCCAATGTCAATAAGGGTGGTTTTGCAAAATCAGCCTCTATGTCGCTTCTCTATGTTCTCTGGTACGACCATCAGGGTGCCCAGATTTGGCGATTTATCGCCATTTTGGCGACTTGGCGCCCAAGATTAGCGCTGTTTTTTAATGTCGGCGCCAGTTGGCGATTTTGGCGAATTTTGGGGACTCTATTATTTTTCCATTTTTGTGTACAGTTAAGTAATGAAAAAAATCGAAAAAGTCAACAATCAACTATCACTCTCACTCTCATCCCCTCACAGTCGCTCGTCAGTCATTAGTCATCACTCGTCAGTTCATCACACTGAAAGGGTCAATGCATTTTTTAGTTAAAATAAATATTAAAAAAAGGATAAGTGCTTTCATTAGATTTCAACAATATATTTTGTTGGCAAAGTCCCTATTATAGCCTCTAGAAAACACATAGTATCGTCACCGTGGAGCAAACCTGGCGGAAACTTAACAAAAACAAAAGTTATTAACACCATTTGACAGATCGCGAAATTTAAAATGGTTTTATGTTGGATTTAAAGTTTGTAGTTTATGTACAAAATATGGATTTTTAATTTGAATAAAATATAAAATTTAATCAATAAAATCTTATTTAATAATTATTAGTTATATTAATTGACAATTAATTGACTTTAAACAAAAAGACCACGCCAAGACCACGTGACAACAACGGTTTACGCGCTGTCAACTCTCTGCTGACACAATTTGGTTCTAAACCAGGGAAATTTTTTGCGTTACCAACTCCGTTTGCTCCACTCGTACAACAATGGATAACGGTACTATGTATTTCTCTATATCTCTGGTATTTCTAGGGGCTATAAGGCCCGATTCTGAATCGAACCTGTTAAAATTTAAAGGTTGTTAAAAAATAAACAGCCAATCAGATTTACGAATTTAACTCGTTACTATGGAAATTTGCAATTTAACACCCTTTAAATTTAACAACTTTGATTCAGAATTGCCCCTAATGTCCCTATATTTAATATATGGTTTTGGGTTGGCGATTTTGGCGGCTTTCGAGTCCCTCTATTGGCGATTGCTGTGACAACTGATCTGGGCACCCTGACGACCATGCAGATCCAATTGACTTCCAATATCGATTACGCAACCAAATTTTATATACAATTTATTGTATAAATAATTATGGTACCTACTTTATCTGAAGATTACAATGCAGAAGATGACTTTCCTCAAGGTCCTTACATAGAGAAAAATGTACTTCTCAGCAGAAAATGTCTTTCTGGATTGTCAGAGTGTAATGGTTCAGTCGAAAATGTTCCAACTGTTGAAGAAAACATTGATGATTTGCATCATGATTCTGTATGACACATGAGTGGCTATATTTCCAAACGACTAAATATTAACGAGCCTGCTACATCTTCAAATACGTGGACAGATCAACGATCAGAAGGTGGACAAATAGGTAAAACCATCGGAAGAGCTTTTAAAGAACATACAAAAAATTGGTCGAAAGTTGTTTCGACAAAACTGCCCTTTCATCTAAAGTATAATGAAACATATCCAGCATTTTCGAGGTGAGTTTTTACTTTACTTAATTTTGTGATGACATCATCAACATTGTTGCAAAGACACGTACACGGTGGTATAAGTAAGGTGTTTCAACTCCATTCATAAATTTTCATAAAACGGGCGCTTAAAAACTGGTATCGTAGTAGGTTGTGGGAGCTTAAGATGACCGCCACCATGTGGTAGTTACTTGTACTATTTGCGCTATCGACTGACGTTTGACATGACATTTGACGTATATTTCCCCTCATCTTTCAAAAAGATGTCACAAAACCTAACCTATAAAGCTGACATTTATGACAACTTGCATTCAAGGACATTTTTACGCAAATTTCATTCATTATTGTGGACAGTTTCATCATAGTATCCAGTAGACGGCGCTAGGAACTTTAAGCTCCCGTGGCCTTCTGGGATCTCTTCGAAAAAAGACCATTTTAAACTCGGAGTTCGCAGACCTGTTATATATGGCCGTGGACACGTATATCATAGCCCTGGTGGCCCTGATGAAAGTGTCAGCTGATTCCATCAGAAATATATGGGGAGCTTACGGAACGACATAAAGAGGTCACTAGCGTCGCTAAAGGTGCTCCGACCTTGAAGAACATAGTTTCTTTTTCATTTTAAGGTTTTCGGTGAACATTTTGTCTGGTGTTGTCAACAAGAAATGTCATATTAATTACGGAATCATACGGGATAGTCTGTGTCACGGTGGTATAAGTAAGGTGTTTCAACTCCATTCATAAATTTTCATAAAACGGGCGCTAAAAAACTGGTATCGTAGTAGGTTGTGGGAGCTTAAGATGACCGCCACCATGTGGTAGTTAATTGTACTATTTGCACTACCAACTGATGTTTGACATGACATTTGACGTATATTCCCCCTCATCTTTCAAAAAGACGTCACAAAACTTAACCTATAAAGCTGACATTTTTGACAACTTGCATTCAAGGACATTTTTACGCAAATTTCATTCATTATTGGTCGACCTTTGTGAATAGTTTCATCATAGTGTCCAGTAGACGGCGCTAGGAACTTTAAGTTCTCGTGGCCTCCTGGGATCTCTTTGAAAAAAGACCATTTTAAACTGGGAGTTCGCAGACCTGTTATATAGGGCCGTGGTCTGTGTACGGGATGTTGGGTTATAGGGTTTAAAAACAAACGTAAAATTTATTTTAACAAAGTAATAGATACTTACGATACATGTAAAAAATACTAGAAAATTAGAGGCCAAAGAGGTCAACAAACTGCAGGTTAAACGAAATAGTTTAACTTTCGATGTGTGCGTGTTAGAGCGGTCCAAGATTTATTTTTAAATTTTAGTGTGTAACAAATTCTAACTCTAATAAAAACTGAAACGAGGTAATCAAGAGGAAAGTCTTTGCAGGGGTGGTGGAATGGTATTTTTTTATGGTTCGTTTTTTAGCCGCAAACCAGTTAACGACTACAGTGCATAAATTGGGAAAAACTCACAAAATTAAAAATGCCATGGTCTGGGGGACGGGGGGTTTTTCTTTTGTGTTAGCTGCGTCACCTGTGCGTTTATTGTAAACTCTAATTTACTACAATTCCATGTAGTTTTCAAATATTCAATAAAAAAAAAAATAGAAAGGAGAAACTGGTAGGGTGCAGAGTACGGGGAATTTCAAGGGCGTCTTTTGTGAATTTTTGTATTAGTCATTATGGATTTGTTGTTAACCGAAAGCTTTGTCGATGAATTTGAAAATGAATGTTATTGAAAGAAAGGCACAATTCAAAGTGAATGTGCACCCATGATTGCCTATGTTTTACTTATTTTGGGTATTTTATGTGTCGTATTTTTATGTGTTGTTCTGTTTATTTCGTATGTGTTTTTATTCATGTGTATTTTGTTTGGGGATGTGCTGGGGGGGGGGGGGTTTGTTTGTTTTTATTTAATTCGGTCAACAACGTAACTTTGCCCAGATCATTTTAATGTAGTTTTAACTTCTTTGTTCAATATCAGATAAACACTAATAAAATCCATAACTTCTTTGTTATTATCAGATAATTTCTTTGATGAAATCAGCGACGTAAATGTAGTTTAATTTAATAAAATCATTGCTAAAATGTGAATAATATGATCTCTTTCAAATTGGTTGTTGTTTAAAGTTATGAATAAAAACATGAATAATTTCTCATTAATAATCCCATTTAAATTTCTTTGTTATTTAAGAAAAAAAAAGGTGTTGATGGAGTGTGGCCAATTAAATTTTGCTTATTGCTTGTCTGAAATGCAAATACTCATTTTGATAGCGCTAGTTAA